AAAAATTTCTAGGCTTGCAAAAAAACATTTAAAAATTTCTTAAAGAAATGCTTCAATTTAAAAAATGTCAATCCAGGAAATATTTTTTTAATGTACTGGAGTCAAAAAGTTAAAAAAAAATGTAGAAATGTAACGTCTTTTTTAATCAGAAAATAATTAATAAAAATTAAATCCCTTGTTTTGTCTCTGAGTGTTTATTGATTAAAAAAATGTATAAAGTCATCGAAATAAGTAAAAATAATCGAGAATAATAAATTTCAGAAGTAATTTTGAAATTCTCACAAATCTTGGGATTTCTTCACTAAAAAACGCTCCTAAACTTGTGAAAAACTCCGCATTTCAGACTTTATTTTGCAGTTTTTTCCTGTTTTTTAAATTTATTTAGTTTTAAAACTCAAAATAAAAAAAATACAACATTTTAGGCCTAATTTTGCCATTTTTACCTTGTTTCAACAAAATTTTTCGGTCAAAAATCCCACTAAATTTACAACATAGTCTTAAAATTTGTACTTTTTCTTACAATTGTAAAAAAAAAATCAGGCTGTCTTAGTTTTTGTGTAATAAATTTAAAAAAAAGTATGTTTTTGGCACCAAATTATTTCAAAAATTAAGCAAATTTGCCCAATAAAAGTTTAATTTAAAAGCATTGTAATATTAATAAAAAACTACATCCAGAAATGCAGAAAAGAGAGGGGTTTCATATAAGAAAAGATAAGTTTGGATTGTAACTTATTTTTGGAACCCGCTGTATAGTTGAAAATAATTTCAGGCGATGCACTAGTTTAGTATTTATCAATCTCCTATACATTTTTTAAATTTAAGCAATTCTTAAAAAAAACTAGACATTTAAGAATTTCTTTAAGAAAATTAGTATTTAAAAAAAAACATAAAAATAAAAAAAATGTATGTAAAAAAAACATTTAAAAATTTCCAAATTTAGAAAAAATATATTAAAGACTTCTCAAAATATCGTGGTACAAAAGACAGTTGGGGAGACTAAGAAAATGTCAAAAAATAACGGCTTAAAAAATTTCTAGACTTGTAAAATACATTAAAAAAATATCACCTATATATTTTTTAAATTTAAGCAATTCTTAAAAAAAACTAGACATTTAAAAATTTCTTTAAAAAAAAATAGTTAAAAAAAACATTTAAAAATTTCCAAATTAAAAAAATGTAAATTGAGACTTCTCAAAATATCGTGTTACAAAAGACAGTTGGGGAGACTATAAGAAAATGTCAAAAGTAACGATTCACTTGCAAAAAAAAATTAAAAATTCCTTAAAGAAATGCTTGAATTTAAAAAATGTCAATTGAGACTTTTTTAAAACAACATAAATTTTGAAAAACTTTTAATATTCAAAAACTCGCTGGGACACCCTGTAAAAATCTCAATTATACCCAATTTTCTCACATTCCCGCGCTTATTGTTTGCAAATTCCCTGAAAATGTGTTAATTCCGGTAGTCTAACTAACGATGATGGATCCTCGTTCGACTAAATGAAATTAATGCGTGCTGAAGGCCCGTTTATTCGAACACAATTGCATTTAGTACGAGAGAAGGATCATCTGAACTACGAGTAGATAAATTGCTAGTTCCGAACTATGGAATAAAAGGAATTAGGTGGAAATCTGCATGTGAATGAAAAGCGGAAACAGTTTCCTGCACGTTGGACAGATTAATTCGGCGATTGCACACTTATTTCCAACCGGAAAGATTTTCTACCATCAATCATCACGAGACCTCTTGTACAAATAAATTCATGCATCTGGATAACAATTATCTAGAGTCAACAAGATTTCTTCGTGAGAAAATTTCATCCAAAGACCTCCAATCCATAACTTTAGAAATACACCAAACTCAATAAAAACTTTGCAAGTCTTTTAAAGGTAAATTTCGATGTAAAAGCTTTCGCAAGAGTCACTGAACTCACCCCCAAAGCAAGCAATTTCATTAAAAAAAAAGAATTAGAATGAGTAATGTTCTTGCAAACATCAAGATCAAGATGAAAAAGGTGAAATATGAACTGTGTCAGTGCTCCCGTTAGTGAATTAATTCGGGCAAAAATCAACAATTTCTTGACTTATTTTGACTCTTAYCAGACATTTAAAAAATTTGGGGACAAAGTGTAATTTCTGGAGATAAAAACACTCAAAATATTTATTATTTTTATTACTATTTTTACAATTTACACTCTTGTGAAATAATTTAAAAAAAACACAAATTAAAAAAATCAGGTTATGTATTCGATTTGAAGAAAAATTTGAGCGATTTCTCCGTTTTTCAGTCAATTCTAATTGATAAAAAAAATATCAAAAAATGAAACGTTTTTTACACATTTTACTTTATTTATTATTAATATTGTTTAAAAATAGTCTCTGATTATAAGCATATTTCACAAGAAACATAATTCACACTTTTTCTACTAATTATTCAGTTCATGAAAAACAAGCTTTTCTTTAGTGTCAAATAAATAGATTTTGCATAAATTTCATTACGTATAATCTGCGTTCTTTGTATTTCCCGCTGAAGACCCTGAAAAGTTTCAGAACATAGTGATTTGATTTAATTAGAAACATTGAAAACACTTTGAAGTCATTTTTTCCCATTATTGTAATAATCAAAAACGCAAAATGTGATTTCTGAAAATAAAAACACGCAAAATATTTTTTATTTTCCTGTTTTTATTTCTACTATTAATAAAATCATAATTAAGTGAAATTTGTTCAATAATGCAAAATATTGTGTTTCACTCTTGTGAAATATTTTTTTCCTTTCTGATACTAAAATTTAGACCTTCGAGAAACTTTTTTCCTTGATCTGTAATTTCCGTAAAGTCTGGCGCTTCCTCAGTGTCGCACAACGAAAATTTCAAAATAAAAGTCCCCAAGAGAGACCATAGACTGAAAATTTCTTCCAGTGTTGTTTCAGTTCTTCAAACGTGAAAATTTCGCTCGAATTACAATGAAATTCTTGTAACGTTTGACTCAAAACCTTGTAATAAATCTGAAGCAATTCTTCGATTTTTTCGTGAATTTTGGTGTCCACACAAGTGTAAACAAAAAATGATAAATCCAWGATGGGGGAAGCTAAAGCCGAACATTGCCAGTCGATAAAACAACAATGTTTCGGTTTATTTGTGTTTTCCTGAAATTTCAAAAATCGGATTAGAGAATTGAAAAAATTTGGGTTACCTCAAGTTTGAATAAAAAATTGTTAGTCCAACAATCGCCATGTAAAATGACGTGAAAATCGGGCTCTTYTTCGAATAAATRAGCAAAAATGTCTTTAARCTTGTCTTTGGTTAAGTRAAAGTGTTTTATTTCGTCACAATTGGGCCCAACATCAGAATTTTTGGCCTCTTCCAAGAAATTCAAAATCGTGTCATCAATCCCATTCCTCAAAATGTGATAAGGAAACACATTCACATTATTTTCGACAAGTTTTTCAAAAATTTCACGTTGTTTGTGCCTCAAAGCTAGCGAAAAAGCGTGCCATTTTGCAAAATTTCCCAAAACCAATTCGACATAATCAAAATCCATTGGCACTTTCCTATCCCAAAGGACATATCCTTTGGGTTTTAAATTTTCCAAAATGATCATTTCGACATTCTCCTCTTCTTTCGTTGCAAAACATTTGGGGACAAAATCGAGTAAATCCACCCCTGATTCTTTACCAAAATTGACAAAAGTTGGTACCACTTGCTCATAAACGTGAATTTCTCGTTGGAAAAATAATTTGATTGTGATTTGTTTACGCAATTGGACACTTTGAGACGAAGTTTTGATCACCAAGTCCAGGATTTGACTCGCACCTCTTTTGGTTTTCCCAGTAAGGGAGAGGAAAATGACTTTTCCTAAATAACCATCAGCTTTTCCAGCCTTGCCTTGGATTCGTATCGTAAATCGTGGAAATTTTCATTTTTCAGTGCCAATTTAAGCCACTCACGAACTTGTTTTTCACTCATTTCACACAAGAATAAGTGTGATATCTGAGAGTAAATGAATTATCATAAAAAAATTAGATAATGATCTCTTGTAACAAATTATCCTTATCTCTCTACTCAATTAAAGTTTCACTCAAGATATTAAGTAGTTTTTGCAAAAATTATTGATTTAACACTAAAGATAAGCTGTCTTGACATTAACGATATGGAAAATTTTCAGATTTTTAGATTTTATCTCTGAAATAATTGTCTGTGTTTTATCATTCCTTATCTCGMCTATTATTTGAAGATTTGTCTGAGTTTTTTTTCCACTTTGTGAAAAAATGTCAAGTCTAATGGAAAGTGAAATTCAGGAGTGGCTAGCAACAGCCTTAAAACCCCAAAATTTGTCCAATTTCTCCGTAAAACTTGTGGGAAATTCAGGCAAAGGCGATGGTTACATGGGTGATATRATTTTCGTGCAAGTCTCAACTCCTCACCAAAAACTCAATCTAGTGTTAAAATGCAGCAAAAAGTGCAAAACTCCTCAACAACACCAAAGTTTCGCCCGAATTTTCCTCCACGAAATGTTCCTCTACGAAACTCTCCTACCAACTTTCATCAACTTCCAAAAAGAGAAAAATTTGGGGGAAATCTTCGACAGTGTGGCCAACTGTTACGGCAGTTACAAGAGCGAAACCACTCASGTGATAGTTCTTGAAGATTTGAAGAAATTGGGGTACGAAATGTGGCCAGTGAAGAAGCCCCTGAATCGGGCACATATCGAGTGTGTTGTGCGAGAGTATGGGAAATTTCATGCGACTTCAGTGGCCCTGAAAACGCTAAAACCTGAAAAGTTTCAAGAGATTCTAACTTCGTTGGGGCGCACTTTAAGTGACATTTTTGGGTCGCCTATATTGCAAGGTATTGTCACAACATGTGTGGGAAAAGGGATTGAGTTACTTGAGGGTCAAATGGAGGAGAAAATCCTCACAAAATTGAGGCTTTTGAGGGCGCAAATCCCAGACTTAGTTCAGGAATTTGAGGAAAAAGCGCCCCTGAAAGTGGTGTGTCATGGCGACTGTTGGAACAATAATTTCATGTACAAATATAACGTACGTCTTTTTGGTACTTTTTCAGTTATTTTCATTTTTTTTCAGGACGATTTTCATGTTCCGTCAAAAGTCGCCATAATCGACTGGCAGATTGCCTCATACGGAACACCAATCTCCGACTTGTCTTATTTCCTTTTCAGTTGTATTTCAGAACAAGATATTGAAAATCTGGATGATATTTTGAGTGTTTATCACCGATCGTTTTCAAATCACCTGAAAAACTTTGGTTTGATTCCTGAAAATTTGTATCCACGTGAACAGTTTMCAAATGATTGGAAAACTTGTGCCAAATATGGACTTATAATGGCACATATGGCCACAAGAGCTTCGTATGTTGAAAAGGAAAATATCGTGGATTTGGGGGAAGCACTGGATCGGGGATTGAATATGGCGGATTATTTCGGAGGAGCAGAGCTCGGGGATTTAGAGGGATTCAAAAAACGAATTAGTTATTTGGTCAAATACGCCTACAAACACAATTTATTATAAAAAAAAATATAATTTTTTTTTTTATTAAATCATTGCTGACAGACAACAAACAAACTATAATATTTTTCATCTGAATTTTCAAAGTGCAACTGATTAAAGAGATAAGAAAATTTGATAAGTAAAAACAAAATTTTATTAAGTATTTTCAATTAAATCAAATTATTTTTAACAACATACTCTATAATCGCTTTTTTACTTTTCGGGTACAACAATGAGATAAACAAAATTGATTATAAAAGCTTCACTATTTATTTCCAATAAATTAAAAATCGTTAAATCATTAATCCCATTCCTCAAAATGTGTTCCAAAATAATTCCTGTAATAAAAAATTTAACGTAATCTTCAAAAAAACTCCGATAATTCTAAAAACAATTCCAGTAATCACAGATAATTCCAGTAATTTCCTTTAATTCTAAACTAGATTTTTCTACATCTTTACGTTTATAATCTCATATCTATATGTATACAAAAGATTGAGTCCAGTCCTGGAATAAAATGGATTTTAGCCAAACGCAAATTTGAGAATTTTTATGATAAAATAAATAGATATATTATTATTCTTTTATTATTCAAAAAGATATATATAGTTTATAAAACGAGCAGAGTGCCAGTTTTTTAATCATTTTTTTAATACTTACGCTTACGTTTTCACACTTATGAGTTAATTTAGATTAAAAATTTGTGTCTCATAATTACATACTACCTACACATTATTATTTGAGGGGCCGTTAACTTGAAAAAAATGTGTAAAACACTTCCTCTAATCCTAAATTACTTCCGAAAAAACGAAATTTTCAAAAGAAATTATCTTGGATAATTCCAAAAAAGTTTACAAATAATTCCAGTAATTCCAAACAGTCCCAGCATAATTTTTATAATTCCCAATAATTCCAAGCAATTTTAGACAATTAAACACAAAAGGCTTTATCTTTTTGTTCTTGCCTTATTTTATAAGGGGCAAATGTTRTTTTATTATTTTTTTAAATGATTAGCATGAAAACACTTAATATGAAACCTAAACACAAAAAAATAAAAACAAAAAACAAACACCACTTAAAATAAAGCAGGAACAAAAATATAAAGATCTTTCTTCAAAACTTTCTATATCTTTTTTAAGTTTTTTTATTTTATTTTCTTTTTTTGCATTTTTGAGAAATAGACGGATTTTTATTTTTGGGTCAAACCAAATTCATAAATCATTTTTCCAATTTTTTGGTAAAATTGTTCAATTTTTCACAGACTAATTTTTGTTTTTTTTGTCAAACCTAATTTGTCGAATTTTTTTTTAATCTACTTTAAAATTGCATAAAGAAATCAAAAGAAAAGAAGTGTTTTTAATGTAAAATAACACGAAAAAAGGCTGCCCAACTTTACTTTTTTCATTATTTTTAATAACTTAATATGAAACCTAAACACAAAAAAATAAAAACAAAAACAATCACCCCTTATAAAATAAAACAGGGACAAGAATAAAAGATCTTTATTTAAAACTTTCTATAACTTTTATAAGATTTTTTATTTTATTTTCTTTTTTGCATTTTTGAGAAATAGACGGATTTTTGTTTTTTTGTCAGAACTAATTTATAAATTATATTTCCAATTTTCTTAAAAATAAAATGATGAGAAGTGTTTTTAACGTGAAAAGGCGAATTTGTAGACAAATTTGGTAAAATTGTTCAATTTTTCACAGACTAATTTTTTCTTTTTTTGTCAAACCTAATTTGTCGAATTTTTTTTAATCTACTTTAAAATTGCATAACGAAATCAAAAGAAAAGAAGTGTTTTTAACGTAAAATAACACGAAAAAAGCCTGCCCAACTTTACTTTTTTCATTATTTTTAATAACTTAATATGAAAACTAAACACAAAAAAAATAAAAACCAAAAAAAAAAACAATCAGCACTTATAAAATAAAGCAAGAACAAGAACATAAAGTTCTTTGTATAAAACTTTCTAACAGATTTTTATTTTTTTTGCATTTTTTGCTTAATTTTTTTAATTTTTTTTATGCTAACAGAAAAATAACGATGAGTACTACTTTTTTAAGTTTTTTTATTTTATTTTCTTTTTTTTGCGTTTTTGAGAAATAGACGGATTTTTATTTTTTTGTCAAACCTAATTTATAAATCATTTTTCCAATTTTTTTAAAAATTGCAAATAAAAGGAAAAGAAGTGTTTTTAACGTGAAATGACGAATTTGTAAACAGATTTGGTAAAATTGATCAATTTTTGTTTTTTTTTGTCAAACCTAATTTGTCGATTTTTTTTAATCTACTTTAAAATTGCATAACGAAATCAAAAGAAAAGAAGAGTTTTTAACGTAAAATAACACGAAAAAAGCCTGCTCAACTTTACTTTTTTCATTATTTTTAATAACTTAATATGAAACCTAAACACAAAAAAATAAAAACAAAAACAATCACCCCTTATAAAATAAATCAAGAACAAGAACATAAAGCTCTTTATATAAAACTTTCTATAAGATTTTTAATTTTTTTGCATTTTTTTAAATTTTTTTATGCCAACAGAAAAATAACGATGTGTACTATCTAAAACTGTAATAAAATAAAATAAAAAGTCAGTTGTGGAAATTTTCATTTTGTGAACAAAAACACACAAATGACAAAAAATAAATAAATTCGTCATTGGAATTCATTTAAAAAAATCAAGCCGGCGCAAATCACTCAAAATTTTGCAAATTTCCGTGACAGAATGAACCAACAAAAACTCGGTGTCAAATCAAAATTTACGAGTCCCGCTCGCGGCGAAACTCCGGGCGAAAGCAGCTTTTTTCCCGGATTAGTGCAAAATATTCCGGAAGAGGATCCGTCGGAGGAGTTGAACGCCGAGTTGGGAAAAATCGGAAAAGAGATTGAGGATTATATGAGGTGTCGCTATCTATCTTTCGAAGAGAAAATGTTTGAGGGCTTCTACTTGATGAGGATCGAGCAAAGCAGGAAGTTTATCGATTTAATTAGGAAAATTAACAAGAGTTGGGAGGATTTCGTGGAATATTTAAAGTCGATTGGGGCGCAGGGGGCATCAGGAGATGGCGATTGCACAGTTTACAGTATTACCAACACGACGAGTCTTACAGCCGTTTCGCAGATCACTAATGACTCCAAGTGATTTTGTAATAACTTGAAATACATTTTTATGGCCTGTTTTACTGTCTTATTTGGGAGGAAATGGTGGCTGTGGTAGTGGTAATGGTGGTGGGGGGGACGCAATTACCGTAATCACTTATCACTAATTCGTGTTCTCTTTCAGTTTAGAGTGATTTGTGATAGTGACACTTTTAGGAAACCAAATTGGTTCGTAATTGGATTTTTCCTCACACATTTTTTTTTTTAATTGAGAAAACTTTAACTTTTCTTTGCAAACGATATAAATAGATGTCTGAGTCGAATTCTATGAACTCTAAAATTATCTTAATCTTGTTTTGCTAATTTGTGCATTTCTCGGATTTAACACAAACAAATTTAATCACTAAACGAAGTTTTGTATAAAAAAAACTGTGTAAAAGCAGTTTCAAATTCTCATGACATGAGAAAGTTGGTAACAATCGGCTCAAACAACAGATTTTTCACTTTCCACCAATGAGAACGCCGAATCCGACGTCACGTGATGACGTGACTTACCCACAACAATTTGAAACGAGTTTTAGCTATTGTTCAAGGATTTTTTTGAATGATTTAATGATTTTTCCATGTTTTTTTCGTGATCCATTAATTTATGTTACAATGGAAAAAAAAATAATTTTAAATTTGAAATCTTAATTTGGCAACGTTGACCATCAAATTCAAATGTCACAAATTTATAGTTAATTGTCATTCGTTTTTGATAAATAAAAAATTTCTGCTCTAAAGTGAACATTATTTCACTCAAAATGAATAAAATGCAAACTTGTCAAAGTTTCCGCTGACATTTGATGTCAAAAATCACCGCCTACTCTAATTTATTTTTTTTTTTTTTGATCGCACGGTATTTATTTTAAACATTTTTATTAATTTTTGGGGAAATGTCATTCGAGTTGTTGGCAACAGTGGTTCAAAAGTGTGAAATTGAACGCTGTCTAAGATCAACTTGTTCGAAATTAAATCACATTTCT